TGAGCCCCCTCCTGCAGGTGCCGAGGGCCCTGACACAGGGGGGGGACAGGCCAGGTGGCGGCCCTCCTCGGCGGAACAAGGATGGGGACGACAGAACCAGCGTGCACAACACCCCAGCTGGGGTCAGAACAACCACACAGCTGACACAACGGCAACGCCGCAGCCCCGTGCCACAGGTGCCGAGGGCCCTGAGATGGCAGGGGCGGGACGGTTCCCCGCAGGTGCCAAGGGCCCTGACACGGGGGGCCGCGCCCAGCAGGCCCGAGTGCCGGACAACTGGCAGCACACCGCAACGCCGAGGAACACGCCCAGGAGGCAGCCGATCCCACTTCCGGCGCCCAACATCATCAAGCAGGACCCGGTGGTTTTTCATAAGAGTTCTGTTGGGCTGAATGAAGGGGGCCAACGCCTTTCAGCTACCCCCCTGACAAGTCCCACGGAGCTGTCACCGGGAGGGGACACCTTCCCGTGGATGGAGAACATCCCGGAGCGCCTGGCACAGCGGCTGAGATGGACACAGGGCACATCGCCCAAAGTTCCATCCAGTGGGCCCATCATTGTCCTGCTCTATGCAGGCAAGGAAGACCCAACTTCCTTAGACAGCTGTCTTCATGCCAACTACCCGCACCTCTCCAGCATGGTGGTGGCAGTAGACATCCTACGATCGGGACCAAAAGGGAACCACGACATGCTCCAACCCGAGCTGTATGGAGCGCTCTGCACGGCAGCAAAGCAGGGCCGAGTGGTCTTCATTGGGGGAGGACCCAACTGCAGGACATGGTCCATCCTGCGCCACATACCAAAACCGGGGGCCCCCACCCCGGTGCGAGGACGCACTCGAGAGACACTTTGGGGCCTCCCACACCTGGACCAGGCCGCCCAGACTCAGCTTGATGAGGACAGTACCCTCATTTTGAGGCAGATGTACATCACCAGCCTGGCAAGGGCCTCAAGATCGGCGGTCTCTCTGCCAGGGCCAAAATCCTTCTTGGAGCACCCGGAGGACCCAGTGGTGAGCAGCTCGCTGCCCAAAGCCAAGGAATGCTCATCCTTCTGGATCACGGAGGAGGGGCAGCTTTGGATGGAGGAAAACTCCCTGACAGCAATCTCCTTCGACCAGTGCCGCCTGGGCCAGCTGGTCAAGAAGGCCACCACACTTGCCACGGATCTCCCAATCCAGGACTGGGATCAAATGCGGTGCACACATCAGTCACATGTGGGCACCAGCGAGTCCTCGACTCTCAGCAGATACCCCTGGGATATGATGGCAGGCCTGGCCAAAGCCATCGCTGTGTCACTCGCAGCGCCGGGGCACATCCGGATCCCCTCACAATTCCCGGGAAACCCTAAGGAACCACCTAAGGGAAGGGGGTCGGACCCCCCTGGGGGCCCTTCTCCCCGGGGAAAACGGGGACCCAATCAGGGAGGCGGTCCCTCCTCGTCACACCAGGGCCCAGAGCCCGGAGGCAAGAATGCCCCGAAGCCCCGCCAGCACGGGCACATCCACCATGAGGCTGACACCGTAAGCCCTCGTGGAACTATGAACCCAGACTTCCCATCTCCCATGCCCCCGATGGCCGGAGATGCGGAACAACTGGAAAAGGAAGAACATGGGGACCAGGTCCTGGACCGCCCCGAATGTCTGCCCGCTTTCCGGGTCCCACGCCTCACTGACCGAGTTGCGATTGTCCAATTGGGTTTCCGTTCACGCCCCCTGAGAGATGGGGGGGGGAAACCCCCCTTTCGGAGAATTTCCCCTTTGGCTACTTTGGGCGCCCTGATCATGACCCTTACCAGGCCCTGGATTGATAAGGTCCGGATGTCCCTGGCATCAGGTGCCACCACACACCCCTTCCAGGAAGCCGACCTCGAGGAGCTGCGGGCTATCCTAGGACCAGGCACCTCCATGAACGATGCCCAGGACAACCCTTCCTCCTGGACTTAGTGTCGCACTTGGCATCCCTTTCAGGTGACCCTGATTGGGAGTTCCCCCTGACACTGAAAGAGGGGGTCCCCTTGGGAGTCTCGGACCCTACCTTGACCTCCCCGGGAGTTTGGCCCACTAAGGAGGAGCTTAAGGGAGAAGCCTGGCTGGGGGAAGATCCCCCCCCGCCAGTGGCTCATGATAACTACCCAACGGCTGAACTCTTTGCCGAGGAAATCGAATCAACCTTTTACGAGGAACGAGCCTTGGACATGGTGGACGGGCCCTTCACTCGCTCCGAGGCGGCGGAGAGGTGCCGCTGCAAACCGGAGGAACTTTGCCCGGGCCCCCTTGCAGGGATTGATGAGTCGGACAAGATCAGGACGATTTACGATGGCTCCAAAGGGGGAGCAAACGCACACATCCAGGCTCACACAGGGGAGAAGACCACTGCACCGATGGTCGGAGACTGCCTCCACGCCATCCACTGGCTCAGGACAGCGACGGACCATCCCCATCTACTTTGGGCCACGCTCCCGAACACTGAGGAGAGACCTCGGGATGTTCACCAGCCGGTGCAGGGGCAGTCCCCAGGTGCCGAGGGCCCTGAGAGGGACCCCCGCAGCACCAGCCTGCCCCCCAGGGCCGAGGGGCCTGATCGGGGCAGGGGGATTATGGATACCTCCGGCGGCATGGACGTCTCTCTGGGATCGACACCCTCAGGAAAGGGACCACTCCCAGGTGCCGAGGGCCCTGATAGGAGGGCCCCCTTCCCACGGAATGCTCTGGGGGGAGCGGGGGGGAACCCCTGAGATGGCAGCTGCCGACACAGGGGGAAACCTTCATCATCCTCAAGGCAGATGTCACCAAGGCCCACAGGCGTATTAAAGTGCTCCCTAAAGACTGGAAATACCAGGTGGCCTGCATCCAAAACCGGTGGTGGGTCAACAGAGTGGGCACGTACGGCATGGCCTCGGCACAGCTGTACTGGGGAAGAAAGGCATCCCTGGTGCTCAGGCTCTTGTACTACATCTTCCCCCATGTGGACTGGCACTTAGTCTTTGTGGACGACTACTGCTGGGTCCTCAGATGCAGCCGGGCGGACTGGGACGCCACAGCCATCTTGGCTACACTGCTGGCGCTGGGAGTCCCGCTTTCCTGGAAGAAGACGGCGCTCTCCCCGATCAATACCTGGTTGGGTTTTGTGGTGGACCCAATCACGCCCTGTGTACTGCTGGCTCCAGTCAAACACGTCATAATCCTGGCCACTCTTAAACGGCTGGCCCAGGGGGACATCTTCACCAGCAAGGAGGTGGAACAAGCCCTAGGCCGTATTCAATGGGCTACTTCGGCGTGCCCATTGACGAAACCTTTCCTCCAGCCTTTTTGGAGCTGGAAGAAGGCCTGCACCACTTCGGGCAGGCCACCGAAGCTGGTTCGTGCTCTGGCCATACTTTTGGGGAGACTCTTCAACCAGAGGTTCCCACTGGCATCCCCATTTGCTCCCACACTCCCATGGACGGGGGCATCTGATGCGGGAGCTGGCAGACAGGCGGACCATGCATGGGTGGGTGGTTGGTGCTCGGACGTGCCCAACCCCGACAAGTCCCGTGTTAAGTGGTTCCAGCACAGAATCACACCGGAGGGCGAGCCGTGGGCCTTCACTACTGGGGACCCGCAGCGGGCGATAGCGGCCTTGGAGCTCTTCGGCCTCCTCCTTTTGGTGAGGGCCGTTCTGCTTTGTGCAGCCGGCTCGGCTTCTCACACTAGGATCCTGGTGGCTAGTGATAACCAGGGAAATGTTTTCTCCCTTCTTAACGATTCCACTCGTAGGATGCCCAATGCGGCCATCCTCATGGAAATTGTGCTCACGCTGCATGACCAGCAGGTCATGTTGGGGCCGTCGCATGTGAAACGCGACTTCAACACGTGGGCGGATGAGCTTACTCATCCGGACCCGCAATTCCCGACTGAGAACCGGGTCTTCCCCTCAGTCGAGAGCGAATTGATCGCACTGATCTTCGCTACTTTCCTTCCTCACCCATGATGCCGGGAGGGCATCCGGTGAGGTGGGAGGATTTCTCCCTCGCTGTGGGAGTGGCATCAATCCTACTCCCATCAGCTGCTGAGGGGAGCTGCCCAGTGGAACTGGGCAATCCTCCCATTTTGGCACTAACCCTTATGCGGCAAAAAAGGAGGCACCGTTTTGCGAATAAGGCCTCAGTAGCACCTGAGTGGTGCTTCAAAGAGTCTTGGAGGAGTTTTCTTAGGGGCACACTTTTCGGGTCGCCTTTAAGACTGAAACCTGGAGGTCGATATGCAACCAAAATGGGAGCCCTGCTTGGTTGAAGTAAGCCTGGGTTGAAAATTGTATGGGTCAACAGAGTGGGCCCGTTTGTGCTCTTGTCCCTCAACCTCAACAGCCCAGGGAGAGCAAGTCATCCAACCCCTCCTCCCCCCCCTCCCCCCCACCAAGGACCCCAAAAAGGTGCGGCCTCGCTCGGCCTTTGGCCTTGCGCAAGGCGTCTTAACCTCCAGCCGTTTGGGTGGCCTTTGGGCTGGGGCGATCTCGTTTGTGACCCTCGCAGAGGCGCTTTAGCTTTGAAGGTAGGAATCCACGGCATGGCTCTTCCGATGCGTCAAGTCATCTCTGGGCAGAATGGTCCTTGGGATCAGACGGTGACGTTGCAAGGAGCTTTTCTAGAGCCGTCAGATGGTCCAAACCGGCCTCCATCGGCTCAGGCACCTGGACCTTGCTTTGCTCTACCATCTGATGTTTAGAAGCCGCAGCCACCCTGTCAGGGGATATAATATATGTATGTAAAAATATTTTTAGAGAGAGAGAGAGAGAGACAACCTGGTCGATTTCCTGTACCCGGTAACCCCCTCCCCCTATCCGGTTCTCAAGGAGGATCCCCCTGGAATAGAACATCTGGCGCCAGAAGTTTGGGGAGGGGGTGCAGTGAAAGCAAAAGCATGGCGAGAAGCAATGCCTGGGTTTCCCCTACTTCTTAAGTAGGAAGCGCCGATTAAGCCAACCAGTAAATTTGTGCTGGTTCGACAGCTTCGATCCCAGGTGCGGATTTGGGATGTCCGGCCCTTCGCCGGTGGAAGGACACCGCGTTGGGTGGAGCTTCTGCCTTTCTCACAGAAATATGTTGTTTCTTTTTTTCCCTTCTTCTTTTCCGTTTTGATCCTCCAAAAGGTGCAGTTTCGGTGGAACCCACTCTACTTGCCACTTCTGGGCCTTTTGGCCGGCCTGGTGGACCCCAAAGTAAAAGCACGACATGAGGTTTGACCACGGCAGGTGCACAGATATGGGTGTGGCTCAAAATTAAACCACCAGGGCACCGCAGGTTTTAGTCTTGGTTTCCATTTGCCAGGGTTCCGTTTGGGTACCAGTTTTTGACCCACACCTGTGAATCCTTTTGGCAGCGCGCAGGCCGACGTCAGCCTTTTCCTTCCCACAAAAGGGCTGCCCGCTTGCCTATGGACATCTACCGGTTAGGGAACTGGGCTTCTTGTGGGACATTGGGTTTGGGTTGCTACTTTCTGTGCCAAGATAAAGCTTAGGTCAAATCCTAGACGCCACAAATGCGGGGGGGGGGGGGGGAGGGGTTGCTTTGAGCGTCCATATTCGCAGTTGTTCAGTGGCACCCTTTTTCCTTTTTTTTTTGGTGGCTGCCCCACTAAAAATGGTCTTCCCCAAAAAGGGTTCCCTTTTTTTTCCAGGGTCACTGAACAACTGAGTATAAGAAAATCTGGGCATCCCCTCTTTGAGAGGCAAAGCAAAACATATCCACGCCGGCGAGGAACCGGTGTCTCCGAATCATGCGAGGCGGGTGCGGAGAGTCTGGTCACCTGAAAACATGGCATGCCCGCCTGCCTGGTCCCCAGCAAATCGGTGTGCCAAACAGGCAGTTCCCCAAAAGGAGATTCCTCTAAAACCTGAGTAGTTTATGAGGTTCCATGCAAATCTGCAGGGGAGCACACATCCTTCCAAATAACAGAGATTGATTTGGGTGTCTCACTTTTTATACTTGTAGGGAAGACAAGTTCAGTGGCAAAGAACAAGGACGTTGGTCAGCTGCGCAAGAACTCAGGAAGTGAGAAGGCCTACATCAGCACCTCATACTGTGGATGGACGAACTCCTGCGCCACTTTGATACCATGGGAAACCATTGTTGTTCAGTACTTTCAGGCGAATTGTCATTCCAGGGTTTCTTCGGTGCGAAATGGATTTTGGTCCATCCGCAGTAGCCACAGTGGTCTAACCCTTGGGCGCGCGTCTTTCCTCAGGTTCTTTCGCCCGCACTCGAGAGGTGCCACCCACAACTTTGAGAAGAATTTGCTGCGGGCCGGGGTCAAAGTCAGGGCTGATGGGTGAGTATGGGTGTGTCTTTTTGTGAGGGAGCCCTTTTAGGGGTCTTTTAAAAGGAACTCAAGGGCAAACCAGCCACTTGGGAGGTTTCTCCATGGGACAAACCTTGGTGTTTCTCAAGATTGGGGACCACGCCAGGATGTTTTCCGCTTGATGTCCTATTTTGAGCCGGGCCCATATTCCAAGAGGATTTCAATCAGCTTGATTGAAACTGGAAGGCGTTGGTATCAATGTGGTTCGAATGATTTACTAGTGCCATCTATGTTCCTAAGAGGACAATTGGGCGTGTACCCTCTGCATATTTGGCAGTGGCTCAAAACTACAGAGCTAGGGTTACGCAGGTTTTGGTCCATTTTTCCACTTACCAGGGCAAGCCATTTTGGAATTCCGGTTTTTTGAGCCACAGCCATTTGTTGTCTTGTGGTGCAATGTCCCTTAGGGAAGACACTGGAAGGCCTTGGGGTTGCTCCCCAAAGTACCGAAAAAGGGGGGATGAACGCGGCTTCCATTGGCCTAAGGATGTGTTCAACAATCCCTTTTCGTTTTAAAGGGTTTCTATCAGTGGACACAAATACACATATATATATATACACGTATATATATATATATGTATGTATGTATATATATATATATTCCCCCCACACACAGATACAATTTCACTTGCGTTTAGGGTCACTTTTTATTGCCATCCCCTTTGAAAGGCGGCTGCTTTTCTTGGGCACCATGTTCTATATGTTCCTGGATTAAGTCCTGATTTACTCTCCCATCTTTGTTTTTGGGGGAGGCAAACATAGAACTCCGAGAACCAAACCACCTGAAGAGTTGAGCATTCTCTTGGCCCGGCATGAAGCTACTGACTTAGAGAGACAAAGACCTTAAAGGTCATGGGCCCGATTGCAGCCACTTTGCAGCCACTTTTCGGCTGCAGTGGCTCCCCTTAGCGCTCCCAATCCACGTGAATGAAGGGGGGAACTACTTCCATTTGCTGAAGAATATGTTTTATTGTCCCCTGTTGGTTTAAAGGGCATCTATCACTACTGGATTTGTTCTTTCCCAAAAACTGAGTAGCCAATGGAAATCTAGCATCCACTTCCCGGGCCGTGGCCAAAGTTGAGCCAGTCACTTCTTTTAACTACATCCTTTAGTAGCTACATCCAATCCCAAAAGCTTCAATCATGAACTTCCTGTCGTTTTAGTTCTTTGTCCCAACAGTTGAACGCTTTGGTGTTTGCCCAGCTCCAGAGCGGTTGGGATCCTCTATTCCGGAGCTTCGGGGGGTTGAATACCTAGGTTTATTGTATGGTCAAGTTCATTGTTAGTTCCGGGGCGGCTGCAGAAAATCAGCTTCCCTCTGTTTGGTGCTTCGGATTGGTGGTTTGGAGGTTTGGGAGGTTCGGTTTGGAGGTTTGGAGGTTACTGGGTGGTGTCCCGTTGACCCTCTACAAGAACCAGGGTTCAACCCCCCAACCAATCCAAACCGCCACCTAAGGCTTACCTCAGAAGACGTTCCCTGCTTTTGGGCTGACCTAGGGGCGCTATGGGTCTCCATGGCAGAACCCCTGCCGCACCCGCGCACCGGGACCAAAGCGAGGTTCGATGGTCCGAGCGGGACGCCCTGCTGGCTGCGGGATCAGCGTGCCAGCATGTGCCTTGGCAGCTTTTGGGGTTTGGGAGCTAAAAAATGTGTGGTTTGCCCGGATTCTCCCCTGATCAACATGGAGCCCAAAACATGTAGGGGAGATTCCTCCGATGCGCATAGGCAAGCTGGTTGCCACCTGCCAGGTGAACATTTGGGACATGAAGATGCTGCAGCTGGCTTACAGGCAAGGACGGGCAAGAGATTTGAGAGAAGCTGGCTTGAAACATCGCCTTTGGGTTGCCAAACAAAGTGTATTTGTTGGCGTTGATTCAAGGGGAATTCATGTAGGGACGCCTGTGTGCCTTGAAAAAGTCTGTCACCGAGTTAGCGACGAGCGAGAGTGATGTAATTTCGAACCGCAGGACGATTCGGACCCAAGAAAACACCTCCGAGCGGAATGAGAGAAGTGCATCGAGCGAGGGGGACATTTGTGTGTTGATCAATATTCCGGGCCCAGTGTTGACCATGGACCACTTTTCCCATGGTTGAAAAATCAAATCTGTTTGGTGGTTGTGCAACCAAGGGCCATCCCATGTATCACGGACCTCTTGATCAAGCCCCTGCCTTTTTCGGCCTTGCACTGAAGATCAGCCATCCCCCAAAACAGCCACAAGGGTCCTCCCATCTTTTCAAATCTTTTTGGTGGCCCAACCAAGGGTCATCCCATTTAGTGGTCGAAATGTTTCCCGTTTTTGGGTTTCTTTCAGGGTCCCATGTTTTTCAGGGACCTTTGGATCTGAGGCCTCAAAAAAAAAGCCTCGCCTCGAAGCGAAAAAGCCGCGCGGCCCAGCGGCCCAGCGCCAGGCTCCCGGGGCACACGGGCAGCGTGAACGAGGTTTGCTTCCACCCCAAGGAGCCGATCATCGCCTCCGTGGCCTCCGACAGGCGATGACGGGGGGGGGGGTTGGGTTGGGGTTGGATTGGGGTTGGGTGGGGGTTGGGGGGGGGGGGCTTGGGATGGGGTTGGGGGGGGGTGGGTTGAAATGGGGTTGGGTGGGGCTGGGGGGGGGGTTGGGATGGGGTTGGGTGGGGGGGGGTTGGGATGGGGTTGGGTTGGGATGGGTGGGGGGGGGGTGGGGGTTGGAGGGGTAGGCTGGCAGTCGGGTTTTTGGAATCCCGTTTTTTTGGGGGGAGCCTGGCATGGTTTATTTGTCTCGTGGGATTCCGGAGATGGTTGGGGTCCCTTTTTCCCTTCCTGATTTGGTCTGGACCACTTCATTTGACCATGTCCAGTTCCATGCTTCCGTGGTTGGTGCAGGGGGCTTTGAGACGTGGTCTGCAGTTTGATGCCACTTCAATGGACCAAATCCGATGATGACAGCTGGGAGTTCGAAGTATGGGACCCAGCCTGATATGAGCAATCGAGAAAACACTGGTAGGCAAAACTCAGGCAACCACACAATTTCCCAAAAGTGATTCTGTCCGGGGCCCACATCTTGTGGTTGCCTTGCGGCCAGGATGGTCTTTATGGGCGAGCTGGGCGATTAGAAGGTTTTCGGCAGGCTCCTGGTGACGGCAGAGGTGTCCTCTGAAAGGGGGCTGTGGATAGCGTGTTGCACGCCTCTGGACAACGCCCCATTGCACGTGCAAATCCGGATGTCGCATATGGAGTGAGTGGGCGCAAAAGATGTTTCGTCGCGTGACAATGCCAAGGCCTGGAGGGGAGCTGACTGCGATCCGATGTTCATGTGGTGAAATTAAACTTGTGACGTGAGAACCTGGCAAGATTATTGGTGAGTCTTGTCAGTTTGTTCGCAAAGGTCTGGATCTGGTTGTAATTAAAGCACTGTTGAGTTGCTCGAGCCAAGCTTCGTAGTCACTGCACGACACCCGCTGTTCCGGCTCTAAACACGCAGAATGCCCTTGAGCACATGAAAGCAGCCATTCGACACGCGCAACATGGCGCGTGCGCGAACTGCTAGAGGTTTCCTCCAACCAGAGAATCGAAAGCAGAGACCAGCAGAGACCAGAAGTTGCTCAGACGCTCTTCAGCCAGCAATGTAGCCGCAGGAAAGCAGTCAAAGAGGGCCGTCAGTTGCAATTCCGGTGCATAGCTCCGATTCCAAGCTCCGAACGCCGTTCGAACGGATTGCCGGATGCGGAGCTGGCAAGGTTGTCGGGATGCATCAAGACCAGCGGTTTCGGAGCCGCCCTATCCCTATATGAAGCCTTTTTGGTGGTTGTTATATATATATATATATTATATATATATATACATATATATATATATATATATATATGTCCACCCCCCCCATGAACTACCTCTGTTGCTCTGCCTGAAAAAAAGTGTAAATAAAGTCAATGTGTTTTTTAACGTTCATTACGCTAATTCTGAGCAATTAGCGAAACCTTCAGTTTTCGCAACTATCCAGTAATTGTATGCAAACAACGCTGTGGTTTTAGCATTTTGTGTAGTGTAGGTAGAGACAATGAAGAACAACATCGAGAAAGATTTTCCAAAACCCTGAGAAACCCACTTTTTTTGAATAGTCATATTTGATGGAACACCAAGAATCCTCGAGAAGCCAAAACCACAAAAACACAACTCTGAGGAAAAGTGTTGGTTTGTCCAAAAGTGTTTCTTTGGTTTCTTGAGGGTTTTGTTTTTGTGGTTTTCTGTCAGTGTTTCTTGGTTGTTTGAGTAAACACCCAACACACCCAAATGTTTTTGTTTTTTGGTGTGTTGCTGTTGTTCATAGGTGTCCATCAAATATGACTAAAATAAAGCAAAACATTTTTTGATTTTACTCAAACACAAAGCACACTCAGAGGAAACAACAAACAAGCAACACAAAAAAACCTCTGGCAAGAAACAATAACACAACTGTTGGCCAAACCAACACTTTTCCTCGGAGTTTTAACGGCCCATGCGAGTGGCCGAATGGTTGGTTTCCTGTTGCTCCCTTTCAACCGAACCAAAGACACGCCAGTACTAGGTTTGATTGTGAGACATGTGAGCTCTGACCGTCATGTTTGTTGGTTTCTTTCCAGGTACAATGAGCATTCCAGGACGCCCAAGTGAACCCAAGTTAATTGCTGCATCGTTCAACTAACCCAACGAACCCAAACAAGGCGTGCTTCGCCATCGATGCCTGAACCGAAACCGATGCCAGACACCTCCAACATTCGATGAATGCCTGGAATCGAATCGTTGAAGAAAGGTTCACGGGCCCATGAGGTTTCGCAGAGTCGGGGTGGCTTTTTCGGTCAAACAGATCCCGTTCCGTAGGGGTGTGTCTCTCGGCAGACAGGGCATTTATTCAAGGGAACCCGTCAGGCTACGAGTGTAGCTAATTCAGCGTGACACTGTCCAACACTTTTTGGAGGAACAGATCCAAGGGGCAAGTGGATGGTTGCAACCTGGTTGTCTACGCCTGGCAGTGAACAAATACGGAAACGCGCTCCAGGATTCAAGATCATGGACTAAGAGTTTGGCTCGAGCCGATGGACAATAACTCTTGATTAGTGTTTGCCATTCAGAGATGCTGTGCCTTGACTCGGAGAGTTGTGGGCCACGAGCAGAGCCGAACAAGTTCCTTTTCCTGATGACAATAAGCACGTATCGATTTGCTCAAGAGATGCTTGCACAGCGGCTGGGCTAACAGTCGGTGCAATGACACAAGGAGTGGCGGCCGGCTCTGAGTGACTGTGTAGTGTCAGACTTGCAGGCCAGTTCGGGTAGGCCCCCTTTACCAGCAGCATGCGGCCTGAGGAGACCTTCTGCTGCCAGGGCGGGCTTGATGTTTGGGGGGTTGACCAGAGAAACACATGACCGTTTCGTTCAATCGCAAAGCCACTATCATCTCGTGCGAGGGCTCTGCAGATTTGAGCAAAGGTGCATGATGACATGACACTCCTTCCTTGTCATGTTGCCCTGCTTGGAGCACGCGGGGCTGTTGTCAAAATTCAGCTTGGTGCCCAGAACTTCGCGGCAAGTTTGCTTCAGGCCTGTGCACAGTGCTTATTCTATTTGAGTCCGACGCCTCGCCTTGCAGCTACGTCGCAAGCTTCTGGCCCTATGCCTGCCAGGCTGTGCCCTCAATCCAGCATTCGTTTCAGGGGCTGGCGGCGTGTCAGGCCAGTTCCCAAGACATCAACTTTGGGTAAGAGTGGTAATCAACCCAGACTTGCTCAATTGACAGGGCGCAGACGATGCTAGGATGGCAGAGCTCAATCACTCTGCCAAAAGGAAGCCAGCCGACCTGTGCCCAGATGCCCACGCTGTGCTAGCAGGCGTTTGTCCAGCAGGTGGTTCGAGGTTGAGCTTGGGGACTGCAACAGAACCAGCCCTTTCAGTTGACGGCGTAGGCTCTCGGATTGCAATCCTTGTAGCTTGGCCATCAGAAACTGGCGTTGAAGGCAATGCCGACCAACGCAGGGCTAATCGAATTTCCAGCTGCACGTGGTAGGAGTCAATCTCTGCGGAGCCTGCTGGCCAAGCAGCTAGCAAGGCTTAGGCCCATCTCAGTGTTTGCACACCGCAGCGTCCCACTGTATAGGGATTGTGCCTTGACCTCGAGTAGCACTAGATAGCAGCAGTTCGTTTTTTCAATTTCAGGGTATGTGCTGTTATGACCTACTGGGCAGGGTTTGTGGTTTGTCCATTTTGCTTGAAAGAGCCAGGGGCTCCGTAGTCTAGAAGCCTCTCGGAGAGGAGCCAAATCAAAAGGCTATCTGTGAACCGGGCTGGAGCCCTCCAATACGGGCGCGTCTTGTTTTAAAGAGTACCCCTTTCTTGCCGCGTCATGTTGGGTTGACTTGAGCAAAGCACGGGTCGTTAGGCGCAGTCAGCTTGGTTGCGCCCAGAGCTCCGCGGCAAGCTTGAGCTTCAGACCGTTTGTGTGGTTGGCAGACACAGCAGTTCTGGTTTGCGCAGGTGTTCGCACCATTTGAGTCTGATGCACTGCGTTGCAGCACCGGCTGTGCCGTTACTTCTCAGCCCTCGCGCTAAGGCTAGCAGGCGTTTCTCTAGCATGTGCTTCGGTTGCTGGCTTCGCATCAAGACAGCTCAGAGGTTGCACTTTGGGAGCGCAACAAAAACACCCTGCTTGAGTTGACGGCGTAATCTCTCGGATGGCAATCCTTTTGGCTTTGCCATCAGAAACTGCTGTTGAAGGCAATGCCGACCAACGCAGAGCTAATCGAAGTTCCAGCTGCACGTGGTAGTACTTGAGCAAAGCACGGGTCGTTAGGCGCAGTCAGCTTGGTTGCGCCCAGAGCTCCGCGGCAAGCTTCAGCTTCAGACCGCTTGTGTGGTTGGCAGACACAGCAGTTCTGGCCTGCGCAGGTGTTCGCACCATTTGAGTCTGATGCATTGCCTTGCACTGGCAGTGCCGTTACTTCTCAGCCCTCGTGCCAAGGCTAGCAGGCGTTTCTCTAGCATGTGCTTCGGTTGCTGGCTTCGCCTCAAGACAGCTCAGAGGTTGCACTTTGGGAGTGCAACAAAACCAGCCCTTTCAGTTGACGGCGTAGGCTCTCGGATTGCAATCCTTGTAGCTTGGCCATCAGAAACTGGCGTTGAAGGCAATGCCGACCAACGCAGAGCTAATCGAAGTTCCAGCTGCACGTGCTAGGAGTCAATCTCTGCGGAGCCTGCTGGCCAAGCAGCTAGCAAGGCTTAGGCCCATCTCAGTGTTTGCACACCGCAGCGTCCCACTGTATAGGGATTGTGCCTTGACCTCGAGTAGCGCTAGATAGCATTCTGAGGCAGGTCATGTTGGGTTGAGCAAAGCAGGGGTTGTGGGGCCCAGTCAGCTTGGTTGCGCCCAGAGCTCCACGGCAAGCTTCGGCTTCAGACTGCTGCGGTGACGGGCGTAGGCTCTCGGACGGCATTCCTTTCGACGTTGCCATCCGAAGCTGGTGAAGGCAGCCGACCTATGCCCAGAGCTTTGCGAAGTCCTATCTGCACGTGGTAGGAGTCAATCTCTGTGCAGCCTGCTGGCCAAGCAGCTAGCAAGGCTTAGGCTCATGTTGGGTTGACTTGAGCAAAGCACGGAGTCGTTGGGCTCTGCCAGCTTGGTTGGGCACAGACCTTCGCGGCAAGCTTCAGCTTCAGACTGCTTGTGTGGTTTGCAGACACAGCAATGTTGGATTGCGCAGGTGTTCGCAGAGTCTGGTGCGTTGTCTTGCTGCGCCTGCAGTGCCGTTGCTTCTCAGCCATCAGGCTAGCAGGCGTTTGTCCAGCATGTGCTTCAATTTCTGGCTTCGCCTCGAGACAACTTGGAGGTTTCACTTTGGGAGTTTAACGAAACCAGGCCTGCTTGCCGTGGCGGGCGTACCGACGGCAATCCTTTCAACGTTGCCATCCGAAGCTGGTGGTGAAGGCGATGCCGACCAACGCAGAGCTTTGCAAAGTTCCAACTGCATGCAGCCAGGTTCGTAAGAGGTGGGAATTTGGGCACACTTCACAAGCGCGGCTTAAATTGCCTCGCAGGGGGCCAGCGTCGGGTGGCAGTGGCGAAGCGCTCCGAGAGAGCTTTGTGAAATTCCTGTCAGCTTGTTGCAGAGCCTGATGCCCAAGGCTGAGACTCTCAGCACTCGCGCGCCCACGTGCAGGACGATTTGCAACATCCGTCCAAAGGCATCATGAGGCGCGTCATGTTGGTCTGACCTGAGCAACGCACCCAGATGTTGGACAAAACCAGCTTGGTTAAATCAGCTTGGCCGTGCCCAGAGCTCTGAGCTGTCATTTTCATATGGGATAGGCTTCGGTGTAGGACCTAAAGCAAACACGCAACACGGGGTACTGGCAGCTTGCGTGGACTGACGTCAGCTATTACTTGGATTTATCTCCCAAGCTGAGTCCGTAGTAAGGCAATTGGAGCTAAAGGTTTGCACTGCTCTGGCCGAGCAACTGAGATTCGGGGTTCAGAAGCCCAAAGCCCAGTTCCCAAGTCAGGAACTATTCTGCTGTTTTGCGCCCAACAAGTTGCAGGACTGCAGAACAGAAACTCCAAATTTGCAGTGCCCAGCCCGAGCGCTCAATATTTCTGGCACACTTCTTTGCGCGTTGTATTTAACATCAGGAGCCCCTCCCGCCCTGAGCGTTTTTGTGGCCTGAGCAAGCAACAAGCTCAGAACAGCAAGTTTGTCAGCAACCACATAAAGGCGTTGAAGAGAGCCCTGGGTGAGCTACGTGGCAAGCTTGAAAGCAATGGTTTCAGCTCTTCCAATGAGCTTGCAAGCACAAACGACAACTCTGCAAGCGGGGCTGCACTAGTCTCGTTCCAATCTGCTGGGGTAGACAGCGTACTTTATGCCCTTCAGACCTGCTGAACTGCTTGCCTGTTCCCGCCCTTACGCCTTTCGAGTTGTGATGATTTTGCGCTGGCACATCCCATAAAACAAGGTAACCCTTTCAAAAGCTTCGGCGGCCCCTTGTTGCGCGTCTGTCTCAGCAACCCAGCCAGCTTTTAGGGGCCTTTAGCCCAACCCAGCAGCTATCAAGAGGCGGTTTCTTTTGAACAACATGTCTTTCCGCGAAAAACATTTGGCCCGCGAAAGGACATCGAAAGGCGGGCGGAGGGATCAATTATTGGCACCTCGGTATTGAACAGCCCAGTTGCGCTGCATCAATGTTGCCTGGTGCGTAAGAAAACCAGGTTTCAGCACTTCAAATGTCGCAAGTGTTGTGTCAGGCTTTCGGATTTTCAGAGCCCAGCCCCCGCGTGCTCCGAGCTTACAGGCAAATCAGCCAGTCAGCAGAATCCGATGAGATGGCTTGCTGCCAGCCAGACACGCGGGCCCAATAGGAATAAACGACTATCATGACGCCTGAGCTTTGGAGAGCCTCGGCTTAAGCTATGCTCAAACTGGTTAGGTGTGGATTCCCAAAAGAGACAATGTTTGTAGTGATAATAATCGCATAGTTCACTTGAGTAAAGGAGCATTTTAACACAAGCCTAAAAAAACATAGTGAATAAGCACCGTGCGCATGACAAGCTGAGGGCAACATGGCTGCCAACAACTGAAATCTCCCTGCGTTGCGGTTTTCCGGGAGTGGATGTTGCTCGGCCACACTCTGCACACTGATCCCTTCTTCCCCATCGCCATCCCTTCTTCCCCATGGCCTGCGTGCCGCTGAAGGCTGTCATTGAGGTTTCATTTGCCCTTTTCTTCCTCAGGGTGACCGGGACAGTCACGCGAGAGAATTGAGAACTTGCATAGGTTTCCCAGCCCGGCGCAGGCGGAGATGCCACAAACGGCTGCTAAGGTCCCACGCGTGGTCTTTTGTCCCATTCGGCTGGACAACCGGTGGTTTTTTTGCTGTACAAACATTGTCTCTTCCTCACTTCATTCATCTCCTTATTGGAGGTGGGATGCGTGGCAATGATTACTTGCATCCTGAGGGAAGGCAATCACTTACGGACGGATCCTAGGCTGAGAGGAAGCGAGCCAACAAATATCTTGGATTCTCGAGTAATTTACGTTTATCGATCCTTGATTGAAAGATACACATGACAACTCTCCTTTCTTTTGGTGTGCTCATTTCAAATTGACTTCGTAAGGAGTCAATCTCTGTGGAGCCTGCTGGCCAAGCTGCTAGCAAGCCATCTAAGTACGGAGGGGTACTTTTTTAAGTTTCTTGTTTCCGTTTTTTTTTTCTTCGCTTTTGGCTTCTTGGCTTCTTGGCTTTTTGGCTTCTCAGCTTCTTGGCTTTTCGGCTTCTTGTTGGTTTATGCGGCTTTTGGTGGCTTTTTGGTTTTGGCATTTCGCATCCTCTGCATTCCCAGTTCCTCCTCGGCAGGTGGCATTTTGGCATTTGCGGCTTTTCGCTGGTTTATGTGGCTTTTTTGCACCCCGCAGCATCCCAGTGTTTATAAGGATTTGCGCCTTGACCTGGAGTGGCACTAGATGGTGTTCTGAGGCGTGTCATGTTATGTTGGGTTGACTTGAGCAAAGCACGGAGTCGTCGGGCCCAGTCAGCTTGGTTGCGCCCAGAGCTCCACGGCAACCTCCAGCTTCAGACTGGTGTGGTTGGCAGTGACAGCAATGCTGGCCTGCCCAGTTGTTCACGCCATTTGAATTTGATGCGTTGCGTTTGATGCGTTGCCCACGCTGTGCTAGCAGGCGTTTGTTCAGCAGGTGGTTCGAGGTTGAGCTTCTCGGAGACAAAACCAGCCCTGTTTGAGTTGACGGCGTAAGCTCTCGGATGGCAATTGGCAATCCTTTCGGTTTTACCATCAGAAACTGGAGTTGAAGGCAACCGACCCAGTATTCTACGGATTTGTGCCTTGACTCGGAAAAAAGAAAGGGGACAGCCGACCGTGTTCCCATCAAACAAGTTCTGCGAACTGCTTCTCTTCGGCGAGCGATTTCGCAAAGTGGTTCTGCGAAGCACTCCCTCTTGCGCGGTTCTGCGAATCAGGTCAATCAGCTTGCGTAGCTGGGCAGTTCTGCGCAGGGTTTTGCGAAGCGCTTCGGCGAAGCGAGGCTGCCTGGCTTTCTGAGCTTGGTTTGGCGCGTCCAGCGATGGTGCCCCGAATTTAGCTTTCATGAAGCTTGGTTGTTTCATGAGATGTGGCTGCCTGAAGGTTTGGCGAATGCGCCCCTCAAGAGTAAAAGCAGTGGTCAATTCATGCGTCAAGCTGAGCATATCGCAGATGGTTTTGGACAATTCTCACATGGTTCAAAATGAAAGGTGATCAACCACCCTTTTGGGATTGCATGTCAGTTTGCAGGGGAGCAAGCCAATGCCACCCGAAAGAGTTGCCTTCCACAAGCATGGAAGTTCCCATTTCAAGAGACAACTAACTTCCAAATTGTAGGGTATCTGCACATTTTCACATAGAAACCCACTGGTTTTGAGAGGAATCTCCATTTAAGAGGTCTGTTCAACAGCCCCCCCCGCTGGCACGGGAAATACCGCAAGACACCATGGTAGTTTGGCCGAACTCAAAGGTTTGGGGGGGGGGGGGGCCTTCAGAGGGTTTCTAGCCATATCCGACATCCACCACACCAAAGCTGGTTTTTGTCCTGCCCAAAAGCCAAACAACCAGGCCCATCAACCTGCAACAGCGATAACAGAGGCTCCACAGCCGATAGCCTGGAAATATGGTAAGTGCCTCAGCTGCATAAATCCAGAGCTGATCATAAACAAATCCGAGCCATCGCAAGAGGAGATTGAACTTAGGGACTAGTCGCCAAGGTTTTGGTAGGACCTGAATGGGTTCAATCAAAACGAGTTCCTTTCGGGTGCTTCAGACATGATTCTTCTTTGGTGTAAACAAACAGTTCTTATTTTTTGGGGCCATCTACTCAAGAAGTAAAGCGATCGGAACGCGTTTGTTAGAACCGAGACCCGTTCAACTGGTCCGCTGAAGTTGAAGGATTTCGCGGCACTTGTGGAGACGGCTGAAGATACACAAGCCAGGTCCCACACATGTTGAAAGCAGTACTTGCCACTGAGATCACAGCAGCAAACAAAGCGAACACTACAATGACAACACAAAGACACCTTGGCAAAAATCCTCAGCCTGACGGAGATATAGAGTTCACGATCCCTTCACCATGCTGCAAACGATCAGCACATGTTACTAGCGGTGTGGGGAAACATTGAGGCAGATCTGTTTGTTGACTCGGTTTCCGGTTTCCGGAGCCAGGGACTCGGCGCACTTCCAGAAGAACCCCTGGCTCAGCCAGGTCTACTGGGCAGAGGCGCGGATGGCTCGGTCTTTTTGAGGCCACCCACCTTGGGGGTGGTTTAAAAGGGAGACCAAAAGGAAAACCACGAAAAACAGGAGGGCCCCCCCCCTCAACAAAAAGGACACACAAATAAAAACAGAGGCTTTGACAAATTTTCGCCGACCGAGTTGGAGAAATCTATTGTAAGTCAGTCCCAGAGTTCCTGGACTTTAATTGAAGGCCATTGGGGTGCCATTCAAGAAGTGTGGACTTGTTGTCGCCCTTTTTGGGCCAATTTTGAGTTGAGTTTGCGTTAGGAGTGATGTAAGGGGACTCCCTGCTTTGAGTGGGTGTGTCTCGGGTCCGCCTATCTGGATACAGATATCAGGGTTTCATTAAAAAAAATGAAGAACATAAAACCAGAGGCAACCCCTTTCCGAGGCCATCTTCAAGCCTCCAAGGTGTGCACCAGGGCAAACAATGACACGAGTCCGAAAGGTTTGTGTATGACTGAAGTGGAAGTTGGTTTTATGCCTTCGAGTTAGAAGATTTGTGGAATTGGCACCATTTCACAAAGGCAATGTGTGTGTGTGTGTGTGTGTGTGTGTGTGTGTGTGTGTGTGTGGGTGCGTGCGTGCGCGTGCGCGTGCGCGTGCGCGTGCGTGCGCGTGCGCGCGGGCAAGGGGGCCAGCAGGGGCCAAGGCGCTGGCAGGCAGATAGTCATAACAACACATCGTTGATAACATATCAAGAGATAATACATAATGTTAATATCAATATTAATGGCAACGCGACAACAAGGTCATGGCATTGGCGTCGCGACATGATGGTCGCTGCCGGCCGACGGGATTGGCGTCGGTCGGTCACTGGGCGCATCGCGCGAAGGCGCACCGCTATTGGCCGCGCCGCCGCGCACGCGTCGTCACACGCGCGCGTCGACAACGTTATCAAATATTGCCGTCGCAACATCAACATGCTGCCGCGCCGCGTCACATACCGCCACGCGGCTGTCGCTATCGCTGACGCGCTGCCGCTGCACAAGCAAGGTCACATAAGCGTCACGGTCGCACACATAAGCACGCGACAAGCACAAGGGGCATGTTAAGCGCGCGACGCGCGGCCGCGTCGCGCTGCCGCACGTCGCCTTCACGCTCACGCGCTGGCAATGGCTATCGCTGAGCAATGGCGCGCGGCATGTTGCTGCTGCTGCAGCAGCAGGTTGTTGCCAACGAACATACTGGGTCATTGCTGGATACGCCGACGATTGACGTCAATGACGCGCGCAACGCTGCTGGCCGTGGCTGCCGCGTCAAAGATAAATATCGTTACGGGTCAAGACGCTATCGTTATCAATATCGGCCATCGCGCAGCATGCCAAGCGGTTGCCGCTGCTGCTGTAGCTGCTGTCGCAGCGCGGCTGCTGCGGCAGCACAAGGTTGCTAAGGCGGCGCGGCAATGGCACAAGCACGGCAACAACGACAAGACACATACAAGGCACGTTAATAAGCATAAAGGTTGGTACAAGGCGGCTGTAAGCACAAGCACCAAGACAAGACAGCACAAGGCTGCACGTTGTCGTTGCCAGTCACATACAAGGTACCGCTGATAAGTACGTTGCTACATACAAGCACTACAGTCACACACGCGGTTGCCGTGAAGTCCGCCGCCTGCTGCTGCCGCTGCCACATACGTCACCCAGCCGCAAGGCACGGGCGCGCTTGGCATACAAGGCGCGTCACATGTCGCGGGAGGTAAGGTAAGCAAGGTATGGGCAAGGTGCTGCAGGCGGTGAAGGCGGCAGGAGGCGAAGAGGTAAGGTTGCAAGGTAAGGCAAGGGGGGGCTGCAGCAGGCGGCTGCATTTGCAGCAGCCGGCGTATGTGGTGTATATATATAGTAAGGTAAGGTAGTATATAAGAGGTATAAGTGTAAGGCAAGGTAAGGTGAAGGCAGAGCAGTAAGGGGCTGGGCATAAGTATTGCATAGAGCAGAGGCAGGCAGGTGGCAGGCAGGCAGGAGGCAGGCGGTAAGGCAGGTAAGGTAAGGTGGTGGCAGAGCAGGCATGAAGGCAGGAGGTGGGGCATATATATATATATATATAATATTTAAGGTAGCAGGCGGTATAGTAAGGTGGCAGGCAGGTATAGCAGAGGTAAGGGGTGAGGTGGCAGGCAGGCGGTAAGGTGGTGCAGGTAAGGTGCAGGTATGTGGTGAGGTGGTATATGGTGGGGGCGGGGCGGTAGAAGGCAGGTGGCAAAAAAGGTGGTAAGGTAAGGCGGGGTGCAGGCAGGTGAGGTAAGGTGTTGCATAGCAGGGGTAAGGTGGGTATAGGGTGTATATATATATATATATATATATTGGTGGCATGTATATACATATGTATGTATATACATATATATACAAGATAATAAAAATATTAAGCGGCTGTAGCATGGCAGGCGGCAGCAGCTTGGTGCGTGTAGCGTGTGCGTGTGTGTGTGCGTGTGCGTGTGGTAGGTAAGTGTGTGCGCGTGTGTGCGTGTGTGGGTGTGTGTGTGTGTGTGTGTTTCTTTGAGAGTTTTGTGAAAAATTCTGATCCATATCCGTGTAGGGTTCGGGACGGGTGGACAAACTCTAAACCTGCGCAAAAACCGGGAGGCCATCCCTACAATTCTCTTTAGGGTAAACATCAAGTTTGAAAACCAAGAAGCCCACAACCCCATTCTAATTGACCATTATATAACCCACCTGTGCCAGGTGTGCGAGAAGGAGCAGAGGCCCCACGTTTTTCACCACACCCGAGTGAGAAGGGACATGTGCGAGAGGCGGGGGGGGGGGGGTGGAAAGCTTCCCCAAGGCCTTTCCTAAGGCTTGATAGGGCTCCCTACCCTTTTCCCAAAGAGCGTCTGATGGGGGTGCAGGTTCGGAGAAATCCCTTTTCGGGTTTTGACCCGTTAACGGAAATTCTCCAAAATCCAGATCAACCAGCTGGTGGGTGTCTTTTTTGGAGGGTAGCCCCTTTCTTGCCGTGTTTAAAGGGACACCAAGAGGAAACAGGAAATTCCACCATTTTGGGGTCCCCGGAAAGAAAGAGACACACACACACACACACTCTTTTGTTGTAGTCCCTTGAACCTCCGCTTCGGGCTCATAGCCACCCGAGCCATTCCCATTGGATTTACTTCTCAAGCGATGCCGAGCCGCATGGAGGGCAAATTGGGGTTGGTGGAAGTGTTTTCCCCCAATTCAAGGCTGGCATCAAAGATCGTACCTTTTTGCCAAGCCCAACTTTTCAGGCGAGTTGGTGACGGGTTTTGGTTGGACATATAGGAACCTTTTGTGACCCCGGCGATTTGTGGCTGTTTTTGTTTCTTCGTTGACGCGACGGCAGGACGTTCCCCATCTCGACCATGAAGGCTCACTTTCAAGATAGCCAGGCGGGGCCCGAGGAACTCGGTCCATTAAAGTGAGATCCAGCCGCGGTTCCGATGCGAGCTCGACCAAGGTTGGGCAATTTGTGGTTGGAATAAAGCATGGGTTGATGTCAGGGCTGATCTCATGGAAATAATACAGAAATCATATGGAAACAAACAGATGGATGGCCCAACCCTTCAAAGCATTTCATCTCAAGCTTCTCAAGCTGCAAAGTTTGCACTTGAGCCATTCGCGGGGAAAGCGGCCTTAGAGACTTGCATCATGCTTCCACTTTGCTTGGCATTGTGCGGTGTGGCCTTTGGGCGGATCATCAATGGTGTGCACACCGGCCCAAATATCTGCCTTGGTGCTCGCTGCAACCCGGATGTGTGATGGCTGGGATCACCATTGCTGCTTTCGTGAGGGACCACCACCCGAGGGACAAGCGCAATGCACCTAGGAGTTACGGTGATATGTGTTCTTTTCTTCCCTTTCCGGGAAGAAGTTGGTTCGACGTGTTTGACTATTCTTGGGGCCCCAGATCAGCAAATCAAAGGCGCCGAGCCAGAAGGCTGCCACGACATGTGCTGCGAGTGGCCGACAAAACCCCTGCGGATACTGCCGCTCTCCAGGAGCGCCAGAGGCTCCCTTTCAGAAGTCGAAGGAAGAGCCAGCCGGTTTCGGCGGCCCGGTCGTGAACCAATCCGCGGAGCTCGTGATGGTCTGAGCGGGCGAGTGTGTCGAGAGCATCTTGATTGGTAGTCGAGATGTTCTTGAGTCTACAGTCCAGGGACTGGCATGGAGTGACCGATAAGCTGATGGCTTTGAAAAAAGTCGTGCGCGTGGCAGTTCACTTTATTTTAAACATAGCATCAGACGATCACCGGCAAGCAAAAAGAAGACGGCCGCCAGCCCAGATGCTGACCTGACCCTCTGTGCGGCAATCACCCTTTTAGGCTTCTCCGCTTTTTCGACCATTTTTGGATTGTAGTAGTGAGCCAAGAGGAGAACATTTGATTTTTAGGGGCCTCCTTTTCGTTTCGAAGGCACAGGTACCCTTTGGTGTGGTTTCACAAGGAAGTCGCACATCTCAAGGAGACAATCCCCAAGACTGGCTCCCTCCCATTTGCCGAGTTGTTGTTTTTCCGTGTTGCTGTTTACAGTCAACTGGTCATGGCTGACTGGACAAATCATGACATAGTATCGGTGGGTCAGAATCGGAGACCCCAAAAATGGCGTTACCCTGAAGCGCCACTCAAGGGTCCCCATCCCAACAGAGGCCTTTTGATGACCCACAGCGGCTTCTTTATTGGCCCCCTTGAAACATCCCACCCTTTGAGCTTTGAGTTGCCTTAGTCCCTGAAGATTCCAAAGCCTTCCACTTGCTCAGGAATATGTTGTATATTCCTCTGTTGGCCTTAAAGGGAATCTATCACTACTGGAAGTATGTTTATGTTTTCCTGGGGACTTAAGCAAATGCAGGAGGCGTGATGTTTAACACAGCCCCCCAAAAAGGGAATCAGGGTTTCGACAAAGACAGGAACTCTGGGCTGGCCTTTTCCAGGGTGTAGCCCAGGCTGCGGAGTTGGCTCAGAAAGCCAGACCCTGGCGCCTAAAAGGAGCACACGCGTAAGTCGTTTGCACAAAAGGCAATGGTTCCAACAGGTTGGCCCAATCTCTACTGCTATTGGGTTGGATCTTTCGACTTTGAGTTTGTGGATACCCATCATGTTTCCTTTTAACCTCCAAAAAGTTAAACTATTTGCTGCGGGATCTACAGCATCCAAGCAATGGTTTAGATCCATTGCCACCAGACATGCCGTTCACCCACAGATGGCTTGGCCCTTGAACCACTCGACTCGGACACTCGGAGACTCGGAGGCCATGGGCGTGGTGGTGGAGAAGCGGCAGTGGGGGGCTCATGACTGGCAGCCCCTAGAGGTGTCCCTTAAACTTATCTGCTATTGGGTTGGATCTTTAGACTTCAACTTTTTGGGAAATCAAGAAGTTTTTCGCTAAGCCCCCAAAAAGGTAAAAACTTGTGGCAGGGGGGTCAGCATTCCGGCAAGCAAACGAGCAAAGCCAGCGAGCGAGGGAGCGAGCAAGCAATTAGGCAAGCAAGCAAGCAACCCGCAGCCAATCAACCGTAAACCACCCAAAACCCACCCTCAACCAACCCTAAGCCAGCAAGCAAGCAATCAAGCAAGCCACCCCTAAACGATCCCTAAACCAACCCAAAGCAAACCTAAGCCAGCGCTAACCCTACCCTCCTTAACCAACCCCACGCCCACAGCAACCCTTAGCCTAGCCCTGCCCTAAACCACCCCCACCCCCACAGCACGACCTAAACTAACCTCAAACCGACCTTCACTGCAATCAACCCGAAACCAGCCCTAACCAACCCTAAGCCAATCGCAAGCAAGCAAACAAGCAGCCCTAAACCAACCCTAAACCGCCGCAAGCCAGCCCTAAAACAAGCCTAACCGCGCGGCTAGACCCACCAACCTTAAACCAATTACAACAACCTTGAACCAACCCTACACCAGTCTTAACACAACCCTGAACCAACTCCAAGCCCATTCCAGACCAACCATAAACCACCCTCATCCAACCCTAAACCAATTCAATACCAACACAAGCCGGCCTTTACCCAACCAAAGCCGACCAATCCTACCCACCCCACCCAAACCCCACCAACCCGAAGCCGACCCTAAACCATAAGCTAACCCTAGACGGACCCTAAGCCAGGTTTAGGATGGGTATTAGGGTTGATTTAGGGTTGGCTTAGGGTTGGTTTAGGGGGGTTAGACATGGGTGATGGTGGTTCACAGTGGCTTAGGCATGCTTCAAAGTTGCTTTCAGGTCAGGTTACGGTGCACGCCTTCTTCGACACAGCCTCTACGAGAGCCGCTCACAGGCGTAGCACTTTCACCAGCATGAGCCAACAGCAGGTGCCACTTTTTCATTGCTTTTTACATGACTCCAACATTGCTATGTTGAAACCCCAGTGTGATTAAGTGCTCATGCTCAAGAACCGAGTAGCTACTCCAGCGGGTGTTGGTCGTACATCTTGCCTTTCGCGAGCTTGCCAACCGCAGAAATCAATCCAACGGGCTCATGTGCAGTGGTGCAAGGGCTCAGTTGAACCGGAGTGCCTATCATTTGGAAGGCCTGTGTGCTTATCATTTGCAGGCATATGTGCAGTGCACGGGCTCAGTTGAATGCGTGTGCTTATCATTTGGCAAGCATGTGCGCAGTGGTGCACGGGCTCAGTTGAACAAGCGTGCTTCTCGTTTGGCAGCAATGCGCGCAGCGGCGTCGGGCAAACTGCGCGGATGTGCCAAAATGGTCCGGGTGCGTGAACTAAAAGCAATCCTAAACCCTAGACCAACCAGAAAAACCGACCCTGGGCCAACCCTAATCCTAAGCCGAAGCCTAAGCCAACCCTAAACCAACCCCAAACCCAGCCTGAACCAACTCCAAACCAACCCCAAGCCCACAAACCCACCCTTAACCTACCTGAAAGCAGCCCTTTAAACCGCAAGCCCACCCTCTTCCATTCTTTTCTAACCAAGCTTGCGAGGCCAGATGCGGAAGCGGTTCCGCGCCCAGGGCCAAAAAGGAAAGGATGCTGCAAGCTCGGGCCTGCGTCCAAAAAAAAGCTGGGCGCCATTGTTCCACAACCCAACCCAACCCAACGCAGCCAACAACCCAAAACCCAACCAACCCAACTCCCCCCCCCCCCCCACAATGTCGCCCACCAGCCGTAAATGATGCTTTCCATCAAACATCATACCTCTGCAGCCTACTCGCCCGCGCACCCACTCACCCACCAACCCACTCCACCCGCCCACGCACCCACCCAACCGATCCGACACGACCCGGCCCGACCCGACCCGACCCAACCCGACCCAACCCGACCAGCCAAACAGCTTTTGCGGGGGAAAACTCTCTTAGCTAGCTGACTTTGTGCTGAGGCCGGGCCTGCCCCTCACGACCTGCGGCAGGCGACGGCGAGCGGGCGTCGTCCTTGGATTGACCAACGCCTGCAAGCTTTCGGGGCAAATGTCCCAATCAGCTAGCCCCTGGAAGCCATTTTCCTTTCACACAGACCAATCACCCTCCCAGGGCAAGGGTCGGCAAAACCTGTGAAGGGGTTTGGGGGGGGGGTCCACCTTCTATCTTTCTATGACTTGGGTCGGGATTTTCTTGCGAAGCTCGTTGTGCGGGCTGTAAAAGGTCGCAGCCTGCTGTGAGTGGCCAGGTTGGCATCTTTTTTGAAGTGGATAGGAATCAATGACGAAACGGGAGGTATCACTGAAAGGAGCTGGCCTTTCCAAGAAGATGGTCACAAGGGAAGCCCAAAGCAAACCGATTCTCCTGAGAAATCCCTGAACAAATCCACGCTGACCCATGTCACCAACGCCAACCGAGTCCAACCTCTGCCACCCCTGGTATGAGCCGCGAATTAGGGTCATTTCGCACAACCACAAGCAAAACATCTTTTGCAGTAGATGCATTTCCTTTTAAACCCCGGGGGGGTGGGGGTAGTGGTTTGCAGGTTCTCGTTTTGGCAAGGGCCTGAACTGGTCGGAGGTCGAAGGGGGCCGGAAAAACCGTGTGAGAATGCAGCTAATACAAGGGGCTGAATAAATACTAACCTAATCGCCCCGTTGTCATGAGTTCATTAAGTTTTCTGCTGCCCCACGCCCCCATTCTAAGTATTTAGCCCCTTGCAATTGGCTTTGCAGGATGGTCTCGACGCCCAGAACTTCGGGCGACTCCAGATCGCCACAGGCGCCAAGTTTTGTGTTGTGAAACTGGATTTTGACCACATTCGGCACGGAAGGGACAAAGATGCAAGTCGGTGTTTTGATTTTGGGGAGTTGTTTTTTTCTTTGGTGGGTTTTGAGGGGAAAGCACATGGACACCCCGCCACGATGTTTTTTTCTCCGTAATCCGTAAGTGAATTGCGCTGTGTGTGACCAACGCAGGCCACCTTGAGCCAGCGAGGCGCGGGCATAAGTCCGGGGGGGGGAGCGGGGGGGGGGGGGCGAGTCAAGAAACGGGCTGGCCGCAAAAAGGGCAACAAGACCTGAAAATATGAACCTGGGCCCATGTAAGTGAACTCGTTGGGTCTCAAAAAGTCGCTTTTGGAGGAATATATATATATATATATATATGTATTACCCTTCAGCATCATGCAAAAGCTAAGTTTGACAATGTAACCCCAATGGACCAAGTCAACCCTGTATTATGACCGTATGAAGTCCACCTGGCCACTTGTTTTATCATGACGGATTGATGCCGCACTCTGTTCAACCATCATTCTTTTAAACATCTGCCGTTTGCCCCGGTTGCTAGCTGCTTTCTGGACATCAGGGTCGGGGGATGGGGGAGCGAAGTTGATCAATTGAAGGTGGAGTTTTGGGTGGGTGGCAAAGCACAACTAGGACAGAGTGGTTTGTTCTAGAAACCACGACTGGGTCCATTGGGTCCATACCGTTTCCCGTACTCATTGACGTGGTTGTGGAGGGAGGGTGAGAGACTCTTTCTGTGAGGGATCAAGATGGGAGTCCCTTTTTGCCATTCAGTAGTCATTGATGGGAATCTTTCACCAAACTCATGGAAAGGTTCCGAGTTTCCACAGCCATGGCCTGATGACATGGCTCTTCACACTCGCCAAATCACCACTGAAACATGTTCCACCATGTTGACACAGGATCCAGCAGTCCAACTAGATGTCTGCTTTCACCTAAAAGGCCAAAAAATGTTTGAGCTTCCCTTGGGGGATGTTTGAAGGTGACATACCTGACGCTGTCTGGGCCTGACGCTTCAGGCTCCGAGCTGGGCACGCCCAGGCGGCCTTGCGTGGGTTGGGCAGATGTTGTCTAAACAACTGGACCTTGGGCCCCGTTTTAAGGGGAAGCCCAGAGTGGTTTAAACTGCATTGGTTTGCCGAGCCTATAAGGAGTATCCGAATTTCAGGGAGCTGAGAGGAGCTACCAGGAGTTCTGTATGGACATTGGGCAGAGAGATGAGAGAGATCAGCATCTCACCAAGGTGGGGTGCCACAACAGTGGGTTCAACCCGGTCCCCCCCCCCCCCCCAGAAAAACAAAAAACAGAAAGAGGAAGAAGAAGAAGAAGAAGAGGAAGAAGAAGAAGCAGAAGAAGAAGAAGAAGAAGAAGTGTTCTTCTCCAAGCTCGTGTTTTAGAGTGGACGAAGTAACTAGCAGCTGAACATCTTCATTGCCGGTCAGAGTTTGGCCCAAGCCAGGGAGATATGTTGAGTTCTCAAAAACGAGGGGGAACTCCCTACGGCCGAACACAGCAATCAGCAGATCGACATGGAGAAAAAAAAACACTCGGCATGGAGCCTTCTTGGGCTCCAATTTCAATTTGCACAGAAAGACCCAGGGGGAATTTTGGGGGAGTTCTGGGGGAGTTTTGTGACGGAAACACAAAATCTATCCAGAACCCCCTCCCCAAAGAAGTTGCCATGTTCAGCCTTCCTGTAAAAAGATCGATGGCCTTGTCAGGTGGTTTTCTCTTGGTTCCCAAAACTAAATCCAAATGCGGGTTCCCCAGCCCGCCTGCGGGTTTAACCGCATCCTTTTGTCGCAGATGGCTTGGCTTCGGTTTGTTTTCCTTCAGAGGCGGTCAAGCGTTGCCAGATACCAATTTCTGTGTGTTTCCCTTTAGGGATGTTAGATTGCCAATTGAAACCTTGGATTGGCTCCCTTTGGCTTTGCTTTCACCCATTTTGGGGTTGTGCTACATGGAAAGTACGGGGAACCCAGCCAATTCAACATGTACTTTTACTGGACATGGGAACATTGGAGTGTCCCCCTGGTTTCCGAGAAAAACAACATAGAGAGTCCCGCATGTTCTGTCCCCTCCCTGCCAAGTACCCCAAAAGCGCCGCGGATTGGTTGGGATTCATTCCGCAAGGCAGGTGGGACCTTGCGCCTTCCGGGGACCTGGCCTCGGCTTGCAGGGCGGGGGGTGGAGGTTACCGAACCCAAGGCCACCCCTTTAAGGAGAATCCCAAATGAAGGCCCCTTGAAGGAGAATCCCAAAGGAGGTGGTCAAAATCAAGCGCTTGGTGTTGAAACGTGTTGTTCGAATTGAGCAATCGGTGTTAACCGTGTTGAAACCAGGCTTGGCGTTTGGCCGATGGTGGATGCACGATGGCTTGGCATTTCGTGGGTACTGAGCCGCCATCAATATGCGGCTGTGGGTTTGGTGTCACCGACACAAGCATTGGAGTCTGCTTTTGGTTTGGGGTGGATATGGGGGGGCCAATCGTATTGTGCTGGAACCAGATTCTCACGGAAATGAGTCGATATGAGTCACTGACGAAATTATGCGTAGTCCACGGTTGGTTTGGAGGGGACGAGAAGGGTAGAGCATGCCACATGCGCACTTGCTTGATGGCAACTCAAGGAATGCTAGGGGGCAAGCTGAAAGATGTAGCACCCATGCCGGTGCCTGACGTTTTCGTCGAGGCTTGCCTGTTGACCCCCTTTTTTGTTCCAGGCATTTGCCAGAAGAAGCAACTAATTTTGCATGAGAAGGAGGTTATCAAAACTAGGACTCCTCAATGTGGTTGGTGTAAACACTCAAACGATGACCCAGCGTGTTGAACATGCAAAAAGAAGGCCCCGAACTTGGAGGCTGAATGCCATTATGGACGGATTCATTAGCCAATGGCATAAGCCAAGGGAGGTTCACCAGGCACCAGGTGGCGGGTACGTAAGCTGAAAAGATTCTCATGTGATTGCCTTTGAGATTGGTTTCCCATGCACAACCATTTAAAGGCTAGTTGTGAGGTTCCCACCATCCAATGCCCAGTTGCTCAGTGCATCCCACCCTCTAAATCAAGTTTGTTCCAGGGCAGAATGTCAAATTAGCAGGGTTGCCTATACTTCCCCCTTGAAACCTTCATTGTCCCCTAGCTGGTGATATATTCAAACCCACCCTTCAAGCAACCACCAGGCGGCCGCAGGGGGTCCAAAAAGCCGAGCCGCCCACTTCGTGGCCCCGTGGCCCCCTGCGTCGCCGCGGCTTCCGAAGCTTCCGAGGCTTCCTGGCGACTCCCAGCCGCAGGCCTCCCGCGGGGGCCGGGACTCCCGGAGGTGCCCAGGGAAGGAGCTGGGGCGCCCAGCCCAGGGAATGGTGGGGATGTGGGAGCTGAGGCCCGGGCCTTGGTCCCCCTTAAAGGAAAACCACCGGCAAGGGAGGTTTTTTTTTTCCCTCTTTTTTTCTGATTCCTTCCCACAGTCCCTTGTGAGCACCAGGAAAAGGGTATGGGGCAAAATGAGTGACCAGCATATGGACCACAGGTGTTAGTTTACCCATGTGTCCATTTACCAGGGTAACCCGTTAGGGTTGCCCTATGTTTGACCCACAGGTTTAGTTTGGGGAGTTATCCCCTTCATTCTCTGAGAGCCAGTATTTTTTTGAGAAAAAGCAAAACATTTTCCGATATTTTTCCCAACCCTTGAGTTATGGGAAACCATAGGACATAGGTCAACCAAAATCCAGTCCATGGTTGAGAGGGGAGGGACATGGGGAATTCACAAAGCTTCAACCGTCCTGCAAAAATCAGGGACTCACTAGAGTTCCCAGGTCCTCTGGGAGAACATATCCTTTTCTCTTTGTTTTTTGCTCCAAAAAGAAGGTCTTGTTTGCGCCTTTTGAGGCTCAAACATTTTGATTTGGTTGGCCGCAGAAGTTGAAAAGGTAGCTGTGGCACTTGGAGTGAAACATGTCGGGCTTAAGAGAGGCCTAAGGGAACCCTTGCTACTCACATCCTTTTTGCACTTCTGGGTTTTCACTTTTAAGAAACAAGTTGCAGGGGGTCGAAGTCTGGCTGCCAGTTTGGGGTCCCCCCCCATGAAAAGCAAAGGAAACAAAAATACGCAGACAGATCCAAGAAACCAGAGGGAGTTTCAGTCCGCGAAATGTCCAGGGTTGGGCAAGGCAAGTTTTAATCCAACGGCTGTTTAAACAAAGACTGCTTATTGGCAGGGATCAGTTGAGGCCTTGCAGCTGAATATGCCTTGGGTGATCCACCAAGTGCTTTGGCTCAAAAGCGAAAAGGGACCGCTCAAGGCTGGTGTTCGCCCGTGTTTGCCACAGGTGTGACCGCCTTTCGCGGTCTTCCTCGGCTGAAGCCCGCGGGCGGCTAGGAATCAATGCTCTCTGGCAGGTGGCCTGGACCTTCAGTGGAGCATGTTCTCTTTCCACGTTTAGATCACTTGCGGGTGCATGAGGGAATGACCCCTGTAATCCATCCAACTGGTGGTGTCCCTTAAGGGAATCCCTAGGTTCCTTGCCAAAGCCCGGAAGGTCATTCCCTACTGAGCACCTGCAAGATGAGAGGGTATTACACCAACAGGAATGGGCACAAAGTCCAGGCAAATCTGGCTGTTTGCCCAGTGGATGTAAGATATGCTCCTGTCTCACCAGAAGAGGTCGAGAAACAATTTCGCCCTCTTGTCATTGCATTAACTGTTTTTTTTTGGCGTCGTTGGGAACCAAGAGCACAGGCTGTTGATTCTAGTGTTTTGGCGGGCAGCAGGAGAGGGCAGCAGGCCAGAAGAAAGAGGTCCAGTCAAGCTGGAGCTCCGCGGTCGGAAAAAAAAAAAAAAAAAAAAAAAAAAAAAACCAAAAAAAAACGCGAGCAGGGAGAGTCGGGCACGATCCTTTGCCGTATTTGCCTGGCTTCCATTGTTTGATTCCCCCCAAGACACCTGAAATCCACGGCAGGCGTTGCCTTTGAGGAAATCAACATCTTTGGGGCAGTGCAAGCGACTTGCGGCGCCAGTCGTGACGTGAGAGCCAATGCGGCGCTGCAAACGATGCGCAGCGTGCGAGGTCCCTCACCTGACGCGCAGAACGCCTGAAAAGCGCATAAGACCGACGCGGACAGAGTGCGAGGATCTTTGCCGAAGTATTTGCTGCATTTTTTTCTGCTCAGAATGGTTGTTCCACGCATGTTGCTTTTCACTGCTGTTTGTTGTTTTTGCTGGCATGGGATTCAGGCCGCACTTGTCGCAGTACTTGGACGTCAAACACCACGAGCGCGCTGGAGCGCATCTTAAATGAAGCGAAGCGTCGTGCTTCTGCCAGACACGCAACTCCGGATTGTTTCAGGCGGAATGCAACCACTTCGGGTCGCAAAACCGGGCCGAAACCGCGTATCGCACTGCACTGGTTCTGGGACCTCCGAGGTTGGTTCCCACTGCGACACGAGGTTGGTTTGAAGGAGAACCGAAAGAAAAAAACACCCTTTGGCAGGTGCCCCTATTTTGACACACACTCCAAGAGAACGAAAACGAGAAGCTAAAAGTCAAAGAGGATGAGAACACACCGGACCAGACCAAACCAGGCCAGATTCAATACCTAGCCACTGTTTGGGACCGTGTTTCCCGGTTATCTCACATGCAATTCTCGCAGCCCTGTTCCGTACGGTTTGCGCTTGTCAAAGCTGAAGTTGCGAATCGAGGCGAACTCGTCAACAGCGAAATGAGCAGAAAGGTACCCACACCTTCCCAGTGGCCTTGGGTTTTGCAACCTTCAAACGCAACAAGTCCACTGTCTCTCGCCCTTGATAGGTGCAGGCGACCTCAGGATTTCAGCTTGTCGTGCGTACTTGCCGCTGCCTCCGCTGCGCATGTCATCTGTGGGTGTTTGCCGTTGCGGCCCCGCTTGAGCCGGCAGCCCTGTAGGCACTTCAGAGTGTTGTGGGGCTCGCCTTGCCACTTCTACAACAGGAAAAGGTGGCTAATTGTACCTGGGTCTTCCAACATGTGCAAAATTATTGTTGTTTTGTCAAACGACGTTAATTTTACATGTTGGAAGGTCCAGGTATGTGTTCCCGCAACGCTGAGACTGGATATGACCATCCGGCGGGTGCGTGGAACCTGGGAAATCCAGAGGACGGGCTGTCCGCATTTGTCGACAAACAGAGGCAAGAGACTCGCCGCTTCGACGGTTTTCCAGCCTGGTTTCTGTGCACTCTGGCCCGAGAGGAAATCCGCCCCAACTTGATTTGGTGTTCGATTTGTTTGTATTTTGCATTGCTGTGTTTTGTTTGTTTGTTGGTTGGTTTGGTTTGGTTTGGCTTGGTTTGGTTTGGTTTGGGTTGGTTTGGTTTGGTTTGGTTGTTTGTTTGTTTGTTTGTTTGTTTGTTTGTTTGTTTGTTGTGTTGGTTTATTATGTGTGTAGTATGTTGGTTTTGTTTGTTTGTTTTGTTTTGTTTTGTTTTGTTTGTTTCGTTTGGTTTTGCTTTGTTGTGTGTTGTTTATTTTTTGGCTTTTGTTTGGCTGTTTTGGTTTGCGATGTTTGTGTTGTTTTGTTTTGTTTTGTTTTGCTTGCTTGCTCGCATGCTCGCATGCTCGCTTGCTTGCTCGCTCGCTCGCTCGCTTGCTTGCTTGCTTGCTTGCTTGCTTGCTTGCTTGCTTGCTTGCTTGCTTGCTTCTTTGCTTGTTTGTTTTGTGTGTGTGTGTGTGTTTGTTTTTTGGGTTGCTTGTCCGTCTGCCTGTCTTGTCGTGTTTTGTTTTGTGTTGTTTTGCTTGTTTTGCTTTGCTTTGCGCTTTGCTTTGCTTTGGCTTGCTTGCTTTGCATTGCTTTGCTTTGCTTTGCTTTGCTTCCTTGCTTTGTTGTTTTGTTTGGTTGTCTGTTGTTTGGTTGGTTGGTTGGTTGGTTGGTTGGTTGGTTGGTTGGTTGGTTGGTTGGTTGGTTGGTTGGTTGGTTGGTTGGTTGGTTGGTTGGTTGGTTGTTTGGCGGGTGGCTTCGCAAAACCGGGCCGCAAACATTTCGCTGGGGATGCGCGGAGGGGTCAGCGTGCTTGTGAAGGCCAAAGTTTCAACAGGTAAAGTGCGGGATGCCATCGCGAGCGACCAAGTTCTTTTTTTCGCGCCTATTTCCACAGGATGGTCTGTGTTCCCTCAAACAGCCCTGCTTAGTGAGGCTGTTTGTAAACCGGTGCAAGATTTCAAGAATTGGCGTTGGCAGCCCAACAGCGTAGCTGGGAGACGGGTCAGTATACACAAGCCGTCGCCGGAGTTCGGGGGAGAAAAAAACAATAAAACAATAGCAACGGGAAGGATAAAATGAAGAAGAAAACAGGGGGACCGACCCCCAGCTGTGTGCCGCAAGCAAACAAGGATGCTGGGCTCGCCAGATCCCCGCCAGCTTGACGAGTGGAGACGCCAGAGAGCAGCATTCCTTTCCCTGGCCCGTTTGCCGTCGCCCCTTGCACTTTGGTTGCTTGGCGCAGCTCAGGGCCAACCAAGCCCTTCCTCCAGCGCCCTTCTCGTCGCCACCTTTCGTCGGTGTCGCAAGCTCTGCCCCTAGTGGCGCCCGAGCTGTGCTTGTTTTGCCCCAGCACGTCGTGCCTTTTTGCGCCTGGCTTGTTTGAACTCGATGAAGCATGGCGTGAGCTTCCGAAGCGCTGAGCACCGTTCCTTGCCTGGCGGGTAGCCCACTCCTCGGACCGCGTAGCCTCACGTAGCCCAGCGTAGCCACTAGCAAAGGGCACGCTTTTCGGGGTACGCCTTTCGGGGTGAGACGTGGCCAACGGAGGCTAGCCGTGCAGGGGCGAAAAGGCTGGGCCTGGAGGCGCCAGCCAACCGGGGGGATACATCGGCGAAGTCAGGCTCTCCCTCCGCAGCCGGCTGCGCTGGGGACAGCCATCCGGCTAGCGCGCTTCTTTGCAGCGCTGGGGGGCAATGACGGCCGCGCCATCCTCGCCCGCAGCGTGCGGCTGCGCATGGCCGTCGCGCCGACGCGGACAAACGAGCGGGGCGCCGGAGAAAACAAAAAGAAAAAACACCAGGCGGCGTCTGTCCCGCGGCGCAACGTCGCGCGCAGTCGTATTGGCCAACACCCCCAGGCCCTCTCGCACAACGCGCGCCCAGGCCTGCTCGAGCAAGGGAGCGCCGAGCGCAAGCAAGCCGCTGCGCGTGCAGGCCGCGGCGTGGTCGCCAAGTGTGTCCAGAGCAACCCCGCGCCGAACCCTTCCCCCCCGCAGCGCCCGTGTATCATGGGCGTGGGAACATTCGACGGCGCAATGTGACCTGCGTGTGCGCCGGCAGCGTGGTCGCTGGGTCTGGCACAGCGGCTTAATTGCAAGCGGGGTCTCACGTGCTGACAAAAGAATGGGTGGAAGCTTCGGGCCTTGGGGCCAATCGGCAGGTTTCGCCGCCGAAGCGGCTGGTGCTGCTTGTTCAGGTGTTGCTGCCAAGACGGGCGCCCGAGCCATGTCCGCAGGAGCAGGTTGCCGGCTGTTGCCACACATCGTTCCGCTGCATCAGGGCGACGCTCTTGGCGTTGTTTAGCGGTCGCGTGGTTGAGTTGGGTGGGGGGGCACTTCTGGCTGCAGGGTCGGGCGGGTTTAGCGGGTTCGGGTGCGTGGTTGCCTTGCATTGGGTAAGGCACTTCTGCAAGGCCGGGCGGGCATATACCATTCAATGAGCAATGCTTGTCTACGTTTTATTGTGTAGGGGGTTTGCAAGCTGACTGAAACACTGTGGATGTCATTCCACGCCGGCGTTGCTGCTCGTAATTACATGCGCGCGCCATCCCGCCCGTTGAAACTCAGCTGAGCGCTAGTCATCGACCGCTCGACCGAGAACGTCAGCTGACATTCCCGGCAGCACCCAGGCTGTCATTTTCAGCGGGTGCTGCCATTACTTGGGTCCCATTGCTTGGGTCTGGGATGCTTCAGAGATGTTGTATCCTTTTGCGGGCAGCGCCCGTGAGAAGGTAGAAGCGTGAAATAGGCACTACGCAAATTCTACGCGGCCGCGGGTTCCGCGCGCGCGAGCTCCGCGACTGTGGGTCCGCGCTCGCGCGTGCGTTTTGCATGCTGCTTGGCTTACCCCAACAGAATTCTCAAGCTGCACCCGGCAACTAGCAAAACCACACGTGACTTGACACTTAGTTAGTCTTTGTTAGACACAAGCGCAGGCAAGTGTCAAAATAAGTACGACCGACTTGCACTGCTGCGTCTAAGCTATCTGCGCGCGCGCGCGCATTCCGGAGCGTCCATGACAGCGTCAGTGTCAGGCAGAGCAAGCTGAAGCTATCCGTGCGCGCGCGCTCCGGAGCGCGCGACCAAGCTAAATGAGGTATTCGCGCGCGCGCTCCGGAGCGCAGAGCCTTGCGTGGCACCCAGCACGCGCTCCGGAGCGTGCGAGAACGCCGCGCGTGCCCTTTGCGTCTAGCTGGTTGGCGGGCGACGACAGGCGGGCGGAGCAATGCGAATATCTGACTGAT